CATAGAAAGAAAAGAAAAGTCCAGTAACAAGAAGTTCTTATGGGAGATAGACTAAAGCTTGTAAGTTATAGTTTTTATAGAGGAATGATAGAAGAAATATAGAAGTATGGTTGAACTTGATTTATTCCCAGTAAAATTTCTGCAATGGGAAGAACAGAAATTCTTTAGTTTGAGAACCTTATCCATGTGACTGTGAACTAAGTCATAGCCTGTATTTACTCTCACAGTGCCAATCTTACATTTTCTAGAAAATAAATCAGATATACTCTTTAAATTTCTCTGTTACCTGGACTTCCTCCCAAATTGCTTTCTGAATTTGAGAGGGAAACATTTCACTATGTTGCCATAGTCAACAATGAAACTTCTGAGTGTTTGAAGATACAGCAAGACTAACACAGTCGCATTTCAAATCAACACACATGATTTAAACATCTGGAGGAACATGTATATCAAATTGGCAATATCGGGTATTGCTTGGGGCTTGATGCTGAGTTTATACATCAGCTTCATTTTTTTCAAAGCTTTGCATTTGCCAAATTTCATTTAAAAACATTTAATGCTGCCTTAACTTCTTACTTAATTTGGGAAAACTTTAAAACGCATAATAGAGAAAAATACAACAAATGTTCGCATATCTTCCGACCACAAGTATCTAATGTTAACATTTTTTTCAACTGTCCTTTCAATGTTTGCCTTAAAATATGTGACAAAAACTACACATAAAGCTGAAATCCTCTCTATTTTTTTTGCAAGCCTCATGTTCCTGTCTGCCTCCCCAAAACCACCACCACTAGGAATCTGGAGAATATCCTTTGGCCACAAATATATGTAGCCATCGATAACATGAGATATTGCTTTGTGTGTCTTTAAACAATTATATATAAATACCTTACTGTATCATTCTTCAACTTATTTTTTCCTTCTGCATTACACTTTCTTGAAGGTTTTCTTTCTATGTTACTTGCTGGCATTTAAAAAACATTTAATTTTTAAAACAATCTACATCTCCAACTTTAATTAGCAGGATAAGATGATTCATAACTTTAACAAATCAAAGTAACTGAGCAGCATCTATCATCTCAACACTTTACAGAATGTTATCAGGGAATGCTACTACCTCAATGGCTCAGTTTGGGACTCCCTAAGACGGGGACTTGTGTGCACTTAGTCTATCAGGAGAACCCAGAACGTAAGAGTGAGGGAAGTGGGGCGGTGGACAGTGGAAGCCAATATAAATGTGCATTACTGAAAGTGCTACTGAGCAAGGGCAACACGGGACTAAGTCTCAGTACCTCACGAAAAGCGCACCAAACACTTCCCAGAAATGCTGCCCCAGGAGGTGGGGATGGAACCTTCATCTGCAAGCTCCTTTTCCCTATTGGTTGAAGATGGACCCAGGGCATTAACTTCCCTACACTTTAGGCTATTCCTTCCATAAGACAGGAAGGCATCAGAAAAGGTCTGGAAGCAAAGCAGGAAAGACACACAGTGCACACTTCAGTGGGGCTCGGGCAACCACCCAGAACTGTTGGGCCATCTGAACCTGGCTTCCAGCTAGCACCACTGAAGCTGCACAACAGCTAACAGCAGGCCCTGTCTTCCTTACACATGAATCTGACTTGACTCTATGAAGTAGGGCTGCCCTGCTTCCTGAAATTCAATGAATGATGGGGAGAGTAAGTTTTTCAATTCTAACTGCCTCAGAAAATTCCAAACAAGGGTCACCATCTTTGAAGTCACCCATCTCTTATAGCTCCAAACAAACAAACACATAAAGACAATTCATTTCGGTCACTCATCTTACCACGTTCTTTCCTGTACATAGAATCAAAGAGCAGCTCCCTAGCAGTGTGAAGAAGTCAACATCTTTTTGGCTGGCTTGTACTAGACTACAGGTAAAGGGACTGAGCCACATCTATTTCTAAAATTCCAGCACATAATAGATGCTCAGTAAATGTACGGTAAAGTGTTGACTCCTACACACCTAAAATGCCAGCTTTACTTAGCATTACTCTTCAAAGGATGAGTCCATACCTGAGATGGTTTCATACAGTGTCCAGGTCACTTATTTATCTCACTCCTTCCCATCCCCAGGTTAACCACAAGACAGATGATGGGTGTGTTGTGAGAAATAAAGGGACCCACAGCATAGGTCCTACATAGGGCAAAAGGCAACAGTGGGGATTTAATGTGAGGTGGAGGGAAACAAGGAATTGGTAAGGAAGAGGTCAACAGTTCAAAGGGTGAGCAGGAGAAACTAGGAAGTGTTGTGAGTTGTTCGTGATGAAAACTTTCTGTATCTTCACAATGGCTAGGAGTCTACTATGATTCTCTTTATGCGTAAAAGGCAATTTGTTCCAATGGTCTCTCTGGAATAACTCCTTTCTTCAGGGCCTTCTTGTTACTTGTCATTGTCACTCAGATTGCCCAAACCTATACGATAATCTATTGTGTTCAGTCCAACTATCTCAGCATTGCCTGTATTCTGCAGGGCAGAGAACATGTCAGCTGACTTCATTGTGGTGCCCAGAGTATTTACAGTTCTCAGTGAACCCAGTTAACTGCCCATTCCCTCAATCCAGATGGCCTTTCTTTTGATTAAGCATACTAGGCTTCCATTGGCAAAGGGAACTAGAAGATGATAGTTATTTTCTGGAAAATTCCAGCCATGATGTCATTTTTGCCTAAGTGTGATTTTTACCTTAATTGCCTTGGCAGCTAGAGGGAGACTTTATTCTTTATAGGGCCAGAAAGAGACCTAAGAAGGTTATTTATCATCAGGATAATAGGCTCAATTATCTGGTGGAAATAGAGACTAGATGCCTCTTCTCTTTCATGCTCTCTCTGGGAAGAAGGCTGATTTCCCAGGGCGTTCCCCTTTCATCTCACCACCTTTCACCCCTTCCCCAATTAAGGCAACCAAAAATGAAATCCTCATCGGATTCTACAAAATCAGGAGAGGACCCTTGGGAGAAATAACAATACAAGGTGTCTTTTGAGTCCCATCCACAAATAACATCATTTATGTTACTCGTTAAGTATGATCTGATGTTAGACTTACAAACCATGGGTCAAGTAAACACAGAAATCTGAGACTTTCTCAACTCTAACACCCTGTTTTCTGGCTACCATTTTCCCCCCAATAGTCTCAACTTTTAGGCAATATCCTGTAACTGCAAATAGGTTTCAGGAGAAGACTGATTTTATTTTTTTACTTAATCAATAAGGTTCAAATGCATTTTTTATTTAATAGGCTCCAAGGCATCCACTGAATTTATATTAGATCCGAGTATTATAGGAAGCAAGGGCTGTCACTTGTAAAGGATGCTACCATCCACACACTTCCTCCGTGTTTTCCCCCTTCTGGCTACAAGAGTGTTCATCATTCCTAGTTCTTTATGCTTATATAACATCTCAACACTTGCTTAGTTTCAATGGAAGACACCAGAATATTTGCTCTAGTTTTTTTCTTAAAGAACTCTGTGCTACATATATGCATAGATGGCTTTTCAAAACAGTTACTTAGAGATGTAGCTTATTCTCGTACTTCATACCAAACACTCAATGAAACACTTCCCTCACAAATGGATAGGGTACCTTTTTCCAGATTGAAAGCATTAGCCAGATGTGTTTTTTCAAAGATTCCATTTATCCAAACATCATGTTCAAGCAGAAGGATCAAGTGCATTGAAGGTTTTCTAATTACTAAAGGAAAAAATTAAATTAACAACTGTTACTGTTTTGCTGAGTGGTTCCTGTTGATAGATATGCCATGTCTGTATGTGTTATGATTAATTTCACGTGTCAACTTGACAGGGCCATAGGTGCCCAGATATTTGGTCAAACCGTATTCTGGGATGAGGTTAACATTTAAACCAGTGAACTGTTAAACAGATTTTCCTCCCTAATGTGTGTGGGCCTCGTGCAATCAGTTGAAGGCCTGAATAGAACAGAAAGTTAGCTCTCCCTAGAGTAAGAGAGAATTCCTTCTGCCTGGCTGCCTTTGATCTGAGACATTGGCTTTTTTCCTCCCTTTGGACTTCTGTGAAAACATCAGTTTTTCCTAGGTCTCAAGCCTGCCAACCTGCAGACTACAGCTTACAACATTGGCTCTCCTGGGTCTCCAGCTTGCTGACATACCGTCTAGGTCTTTGGACTTCCCACTTCCATAATCACATGTGCCATTTCCTTAAAATAAACCTTTATAGCCTGGCATGGTGGCTCATGCCTGTAATTCCAGCACTTTGGGAGGCCAAGGCAGGTGGATCACCTGAGGTCAAGAGTTCAAGACTAGCCTGGACAACATGGCAAAACCGCATCTCTACTAAAAATACAAAAATTAGCTGGGCATGGTGGTGCGTGCCTGTAATCCCAGCTACTCAGGAGGCTGAGGCAGGAGAATCACTTGAACCTGGGAGATGGAGGTTACAGTGAGCCAAAATGGCACCATAGCACTTCAGCCTAGGTGACAAAGCAAGATTCCATCTCAAAAGTAAGTAAGTAAATAAATAAATAAATAAACCTTTATATATTAAATCTGTGTGTATGTGTGTATGCATGTATATATACATATACATATAATGTCCTGTTGGTTCTGTATCTCTGGAGCATTCTGACCAGTCCCTAATACAGTAGGAATCTAAAAGTCAGGTTTGCAAACCACCATTATGCTCAGTGTACCAGCTGAGCTTCATTTAACATGTAAGTCCAGGCTGGGCACAGTGGCTCACACCTATAATCCCAGCACTTTAGGAGGCCGAGGCGGGTGGATCACCTGAGGTCG